TCCTTCCTTCCTTCCTTCCTTCCTTCCTTCCTTCCATTTTAGCGGTGTTTTTCATCTGAGCATACTTACCCTGTTCCCACTTTTTTTTAAAACCCTCTCTCATTATGTAAAACTGGCCAGGTTCACAGTTAAATAAATAAATATAGGCTGTCATCCTCTGAACCCGGTGCTTTTTTTGAAAATGGCCCCAACCGAGTCACAAGTGGCCTGAAGGCCAGAATGACGCGTTTCTGACCTTCTGAACCTTGTAGAACGAAATCAGCCACTTGAAATCCCAGCAGAAGGCAGATGAAAATGTCATTCATGGCAGCCTGAAAGACATGGAGGTACGTAGTGGAACTGGGGTACGCGCGTGTTTGTGGGAGGGAGGGAGGGAGGGAGGGAGACCAGGGCAGTGTCTCCTGTCCTTTGTTTATAAGAGAAAATTATTCTCCAGGGTGGGAATCATTTGGGCTTAGCTTGGTAATACTTTTACTCCCGCTGTCTCTCTAGCCCCGTCAGCCTCTTTTTCTGCCCACAGGAGAAGCTGCAGAAGACCACCGAAAGAACCAACCTCTATGCTTACAATCTGAAAGAGAGCAGCAAGATCTTGGACCAGCTGAAATCCGCCATGGATTTCCTGTTCAAGCGGATCGGCTGCGATGCCACCAAGATCAATCGGCACCTGGGAGAGACTGGAGAGGTCACGGACCAGAATCTGATGGAGTATTTCAGTGAGTGGAAGGACCAGGGTGCCACACGCTGAGCTTGATCGCCTTGGGGTTTTTTTCCCCCCCCTAGAGACCCTTAGAGGCTTCCTATGTATGTGGGCCAAGCTAGGAAAGAAAATAATGCAAACTGACCTTTAAGAGGCTGTCTTTGGTCAGTTAAAGCCTTCCAACATTCCCTCATTTGTCTTCGTCCTTCCATCTGGGATTTCTCTCCTCTTAGTAGACTGTTTCCCAACCCTGAGAACTTTAAGAAGTGGGGATCTCAACTCCCAGAATTCCCCAGCCAGCTGGGGAAACACTGTCTTATAGCTTATGTAGAACAGAACAGAATAGCAGTTGGAAGGGACCTTTAAGGTCTTCTAGTCCAACCCCCTGCTCAGGCAGGAAGCCCTACTCCACTTCAGACAAATGGTTATCTAATCTCTTCTTAAAAACTTCCAGTGTTGGAGCATTCACAACTTCTGGAGGCAAGTCGTTCCACCGATTAATTGTTCTCACTGTCAGGAAATTTCTCCTGAGTTCTAAGTTGCTTCTCTCCTTGATGAGTTTCCACCCATTGCTTCTTGTCCTGGTGCTTTGGAGAATAGTTTGACTCCCTCTTCTTTGGGGCAACCCCTGAGACATTGGAAGACTGCTATCATGTCTCCCCCGGTCCTCCTTTTCATTAAACCCATTTCCTGCAACTGTTCTTCCTATGTTTTAGCCTCCAGTCCCCTCATCCTCTTTGTT